TTTTTGTTTTTAAAGTCAACAGAAAATGGAAATATACTTTTTAAAGTTTCTAATACTAGGAGACGATATCATACAATGTCTTTTAAATAAATTTTAAGTCAAAGATACAGTATAGATTTTAGAACAAAAATTAAGATTAAGCAATATTCAGAAAATTAGATGTTTCAAAACAATTGAACTAAGCAAAAGTTTTCAAGATAGCAAAGAAGTACTAAGAGTAAAACATAAGATTAATACTGGAATGGCAAGAAAATGACCAGCACTTCTAACCATTTGAGAATAGGATGTCACACAAAGTTCTATTGTCATCATCACTTTCCACAGCAGAGTTGTTTCCTGTGTTTGTGATGCTCTCAGGGAGTGAAATGAGAACAACAGAGTTTTTCAAAATCATGCAAAATTCATGTTCCTCATGAAATTAACAAAGTTATATGCTCCTCATAATATGACAGGTTTTGGTTTTCCTTATACAGTCAAGGAGATTAGATATGCTGGGGTAGTGCTTCATGAGCAGGAAAGGGCTGACAGTTGCATAGCTCCCAGTGACTACTGCAGCAGTGCACACAAGGAGCCTGTTAGGATTGTTATAGAAAATAAAGAAAGCATGGAAAATTAGGGAGAGTGAATAAAAACAGACAAAAGTGCTGACCAAGAGAATGATGGTTTTGGTGGCCCTGGTTTCAGGGGAGGATCTATATGTCATGTTGGTCATGTGCATATGTTGCATTCTTAGATTGTGCCTGTACAGGATGGAAATCATGGAGCTACTGGTGCAGAGCATGAGCACCACACATAACACATCGGGAAGGGACAGCAGTGCTGTATGCATGATTGTCCTAGATTTCTTGTGGTGAATACTGGAACAATATCCAAACTCTTTTTGGTATGTGATGTTTATATGGTGCCATTTGTCAGTAACACAGAAAGGAACTATTATGCTTAACAGCATGTGGAAGATCCAACAGAGGATACTGAAGATGCGTACATACTTGTGGGTTCTTGACTTTAACTTTGCCCACCTGGAGTTGATAGGGCAGATCGTGATAACCTGGAAAACACTCAAAAGGCAGGTGTTACCAATGGACACACCTCTGCCTATCCTGTGAACATAGAATACAAGTTTGCATCCAAGGTCACTGAGGAAATCTTTCAAGCCCAACGCTGCCATTGTTTCTGGAACTCCTCTAAACAGGATGACCAAGGAGTTGGCTACAGCCAGGTGCTTGAGAATCAGATTTGTAGAACTTAATTGGAATTTAGTGAAATGAAGATAAAAACAGTGGCAAAGAAGAAATAAATTCCCCAACGTTCCAATGAGAGTCTGAGAGAAGTAAACCATTGCCTTCACCAAATCCGTGGAGGACATTGAGCCTGATTTAGTGTATGATCTTTGTTTTCATAACAGAGATTCCTGCAATGAAATGTGAAGAATGGCCTATATTAATCAATATGAGCTGGGCTTGGGATATAGCTCAGTGGCATAAGCACCTATCTGGCAAGTGCAAGGTTACAAGTTTGATCCGCAGGAAAAAAAATAATCAAAATCTGATTCTTTTTTATTCTTATATTATTCTAATAAGACAGGAATTCTTATTATTCTCATTGTGAAGATGAGCATGCTTTCTGAATGGGATAATCTGGTGATTTGTCTAATTACTACCCAACCCAGGAGTATTTTGGAACTTGAGTCTAGCTGTAGTAAATTATATTGCATTCAACCTTACTACTAATCCTCAGTCATGAGACTGTATGAATAATTCCAATATATTCAATTTAAAAAATCTTGTCTTTTTGATTATATAGGGTGTATTTTGTTTGATACTTCTGCTTGTGAATATTTTCCATCTATGCGATAATGTATTCTGTATGAGTCAATATCAATTATGAGAAATTTCAGAGTTCAATATAAAATGTAGGGGTGAAGCTTGTAACTTCATAGGACAGATCTCTGCAATTCAGATTGCTTTTCTTGGGATGACATCAGAAAATCCCATTTGGGCGGGCCTTTTTAGCCACTCTCCCTTATCTGCAGCTCAGAATCTCCGGGCTCAGCAACATGACGTCCGCCTTGGAGAACTACATTAACAAAACTGTTGCTGTTTTTACTTCTGATGGAAGAATGATTGTGGGTATACTTATTTATTTAATTGTGTGTGTGTGTGTGTGTGTGGCCAGCTCAGCCCACCAGGGGGCGGGGCTGGCTGGCATGTGGTGCTGGGGATTGAACCGCGGTCCCTTTGCTTTGCTAAGTTTGTTCTAAGTAGGTGCTTTAGACCACTGAGCCATCTCACCAGCCCTGTGGGTATACTTAAAGGTTTTGACCAGACCATTAATTTGATTTTGGATGAAAGCCATGAATGAGTATTCAGCTCTTCACAAGGAGTTGAACAAGTGGTGCTAGGATTATACATTGTAAGAGGTGAAAATGTGGCAGTCATTGGAGAAAATGATGAAGAGACAGATTCTGCACTTGATCTGGGGAATATTCGAGCAGAGCCTCTAAACTCTGTAGCACGCTGAGGAAGAATGGCATTCACTAGACATCTGTATATCTTGTATAGAAACTATTCTGAGGATGGTTTTCTGAATTTTTATGAACATGTTAATTGTGAATTTTGACTTCATATTGATTTATGGTATTATGTAAATCAAAATATTTCTATGTTTTTATTGAAAATGCTGTCTAAATTATAAGCATGGTCACCTCATTTTATTTTTCTACTGAATGATACGAAAATAATTTGAAAAACTTAGAAAATAAGTACTTTCTGATATTTTGATATTTATGGAAAATAGTTGAAAATTTGAGGTTCATAAATCATGCATATAAATAACTAGTGCAAGATGTATGTATTTCTTTCCAAGATTTTGAAGATCACCAGAAGGTAAATTTTCGGATGAAACAAGTCACTGAAATTTATCTCACTGCACTAGTAGTATTGGTAGTGCCAGTGCTTTTAAAAATTCCTCCCTAGCACTTAGAGATGTGAATAAGAATGTGTTTAGCTGATTAAAGGAAGAGTACCGGGGGCCTGCCCCTTGGCTCAGTTGTTTAAGTGCCTGCTTAAAAAAGCTGTGAGGCTCAAGTTACTCTGGTTCAAAGCCAGATACTCCCGCCAAAAGAAATGCCCTGAAGGCATGTTAAGGCCGCCCCAAAATGAAAAAGAGTACCAACAAAGTTTTAATAGATATAGACCCAGAACGCAGGCCTGGCGAGTGAGTGAGATGACCGAGGACCGCGGGATCCTGAACAGACCCAGAGCACAGGCCCGGCGAGAGAGTGAGATAACCCTGGGATGGGGATCCTCATTCGACCAAGGCGCAGGCCCGGCGAGAGAGTGAGATAACCCTGGGATGGGGATCCTCATTCGACCAAGGCTGCAGGCCCATCGTGGAACCCATCAGCAGAACTCCCTGCAAAGAGGCTAGAGGCAAGACCCACCCAGCTGATTCAGGAGCAGAACACCTTCCCAGAGAGACACAAAGGGTTCAACTCTAACACCTGCAGCAGAAAGAAGTGGAGCACAGTAGCCAGATCCAAACAACACCCACCTGGAGGAATCTGAACTTTGTAGATCCGGACCTGGTGCTAAGGTAATAACTCTATCTGAGCTCTACACCAAAGGTCAGAAGACAGTGGTATACAAAATGACAAAGAGAAGTAACAAAATGCAGTCTCAGGCCCCTAGTCCACCCAGTACAACTGCAGAAGACACTAGCACTGAGGAAACTGGAAATCACATACCAGATATCTTTGAAATAATAGCGTTGACAGTAAAGAATCAACTGCAGAAAGGTATAGAAAAAATCAGATCAAAATTAATTTCAGAAATAGAAAATGTAGTGGTAACTATAATCAAAGAAGTACTAAGTGCTTCTAAAGAATACACTGGGGCCTGGTCGGGGAGATGGCTCAGTGGAATAAGTGCTTCCCTGGCAAGCGCAAGGGCCTGAGTTCGATCCCCAGTTCTGCCAAAAAAAATACACTGATAAAAAAATAAAGGAGAATATAAAAATGATGGAACCCCTGAATAAGCAATTTAGGAAAGAAATAGAATCTATGAAACAGGTTCAAAGTCATATACAGGAAATTAAAACCTCAATCACAAACTGGCAAAACTGTTTGCGTGAAAGAGAAGATAGACTTTCTGACCTGAAAGACACCATTGCAGCTAGTGAAAAAGTAAGGAAAGATCTCTTTAAAACAAGTAGGATGCAGGAAAAAATAACTCAATACCTGCAAGACGATGCAAAGATGAACAATGTGAGGCTAATAGGCATCAATGAGAAGGAAGGAGTCATTACAAATGATATAAAAAGAATATGGGCAGAAGTAATAGTAGAAAACTTCCCAAATATGGGGCAACAATCTGACATTCCTGTAACCAAAGCAGACAGAACTCCAAATAATATCAATCCAATGAAAACCACACCCAGACATATAATAATCAAGATTCCAGAAATTCAGCATAAGAGCAGTATACTAAAAGCCGCTAAAGAAAAGAAACAGATCACATTTAAAGGAAAACCCATCAGAATAGCAGCAGGTTTTTCTTCACGAACCATCAAGTCAAGAAGAGCATGGAGCAAAGTACTTCAAGTCTTGCAAGGAAACAAATTCAAACCCAGACTGATCTATCCTGCAAACCTACCTTTCAAATATAATGGAGAAGTGAAATATTTCCATGACATAGAACAACTAAAGAACTTCCTGATGACAAAGCCAAGCCTACACAGACTACTAAATGAAGTTCTAGATGGGGAGCAAATTGATCACAGCCCCATGAATGAGAATGGAAAGAACCCACCAAATAGGGCAAACAAACAGAGGAGAATAAGAGGTATACAATAGTAGTCTTTCAGTTATTCTTTTGTGTTCAGCAGCAGAATATTTTCATCAGCACACTCTACAAATGGACTTCTCTTCCACCCTATGGGTCATGATTCCACTGGAATCTACAGGGTGGATTTCAAAGAAATAGCTGTAGCTCAGTTCCACAAGTGATGCCTAGACACCAGTAACTGTCACGGTCATTATGCATGTCCACAACACACTAGAACTTTGTGCGATATCCTATCCTCAAACGGTTAGAAGTACTGGTCATTTTCTTGCCATTCCAGTATTTATCTTATGTTTTACTCTTAGTACTTCTTTGCTATCATGAAAACTTTTTCTTAGTTCAATTGTTTTGAAACATTTAATTTTCTGAATATTGCTTAATCTTAATTTTTGTTCTAAAATCTATACTGTATCTTTGATTTAAAATTTATTTAAAAGAAAAAAAATAAATTAGGCTTTGTAAGAGATTAATTACAACTAATACTAAACTAGGACAATTATAAAATATACTATAATAACAATGAATTAAAAATTTAAAATGTTTGGGGACATAGCTCAGTACAAAGGATCTGTGTTCAATCCCAGAGCTATTAAAAAATAAATAAGAATTGTGCTTTCAAAAGAAACCCAAAAACTAAAGCCACATTAATATGCTGAGCTATGAGAGGCTCAAGTCAACAACTTTGGACATTGCCAGTCTTACAGAAATCCCACTACTATTATGGACTACTGGACTCTATTGGGAGATTCTGCTGAATTCAAGCACCTACAATGTTTAAATGAGAATGGAATGCCCTTCTCTGACAAAACTAACTAATAAAGTGGGATAGAAATGAAAAAAAAGTTTTAATAAATTGGATTAAAAGATAGGACTTGAATATAAAAAATAATGAGAGTTAGGATTGGTAGAGAAAATAGAAGAATTTTTGTATGACAGATGACGACCATTATAAAAGTAATACAAACATGGTAATAGTAAATTTTAACAGTATATTATCTGAAAAATTGATTTTGTATAATATTAAAAGCCATTATAGTTAACGTTTAAGAATTGTGAAATTTTAACATCAGAGTTTTTGTTGGGCTGGGGATAGAGCTCAGTGGTGTCAGTATCTGCTTGGCAAGCCTTGAGGTCCTGAGTTCAATTCCTGGTAACAAAAGGAAAAAAAGTTTGTTGCTTTTCTATGTGAGTAAATAAGCCTTAGGTTTATATTAGAGCAGTGCTTGCCTTTGCCAATCACTTTCCATGGTTAACTGTTTCTGTAAACCTGATTACAGAAATAAACTTGATAAAGAATTCATAGAAACAAGAGTATAAGTTGTATTTAGATATTTAGATAATCTAGGTTAGTTCACAAAAATTTGTGATGAAGAAAATTGAAAAATAGTTGCATTTCTGTAATTTTAAGAAAATTTAAATTGTTTTTTTAATGTGAAAATATTTTAAGATAGAGGTTGGCAATCTTTTGGTAAAGATCTGACATACGTATTTATAGGCCATGTAATCTGTCATAGGTACTCAGTTG